ACATCCAGTGCGGAGGTAGGTCTGGTCAATATCAGGTCCAAAGCGTTGCCTGCGCTGTGCATCGGAGGAGTCTGGTTGAGGGAGAGGCCGAAGGATGACAGCAGTGGTAACAGGCAGGATGACGGCAGTTTGTCCGATGGCAGGTTGAAGTCACCCAAGAGTATAAGCACGGTTCCATCGATGGGGAAGAGACTCAGAAGAGTGTCAGCATGGTACTCAAAGGAGGACATTGAAAGATGAGAAAAAGCAAGTGGAGTGAAACGCCACTTTCTAGACAAAAGCAAACCTGTGCCACCACCCCAGCCAGACTGTCTCGGAGAATGGGAGAAGTGAAAGGCAGAGGACAGGGCTGCTGGAGTCGCCGAATTCATGGGAGTGATCCAGGTCTCCATCAACGCCAGAAAGTGCAGTGAACGGAAGGATGCCTTCTGCACAGTGAATTGGCAATTCCAAAGCCCACCTGCCACCCTGGTCTGAGATTCTGACGACCGTGGGGGAAAGGTGAGGTTAATGGAATTACAGGTCCTGTGACAATGAATGGTTCTAGGCGATCTGTGGGATGAGTAAACAGGTATTGTAAAGCACATGATGGACACAACACGAGAGTAATTAGGACATAGAGGTAGTGAAGAATAACAGTGATACTTAGCCAAGGTTAAGCAGTCACGTCTCTGTTGATGATGGGTGGGAGCTGCTACAGACCGCTACAGACAAGCTTGTCTATAGCGGAACACCTCCTCAATTGATCAGCCTTGTGACTGATAGTCCAGCTCCTACAATTCACACCTTTGGCTAACCCGAAACTACACCTGAAGCTAGTAGTTACAATTAAGCACTAGGTTCTACAAGACAGCCTTGTAACTAGCAGAGTCTAAGCTAGAGAAAGTCTCAACTCAGAGCCTACCTTAACCAACAGAAAGACAATATTTCAATTAGAAGACAAGCACACTGATTCTTTGACCATGATAATCTGTTGTCAGTTGTAACACCTAAGAGTTGTACCTCTTGAACTATATTTAATGTTAACTTTGGTTCTCCTTTCAGTGATGATTTGGACCTGATTATTATTATACTTTTTGTTTTCTGTACATTCAGTATAAGTTGATTGCCTTCAATCCAGTTTACCACTATCTTTAATTCTTCATCCAGCATTTTCGAAAGATCCTTTACTGTCTCGGCTGCTGCATACAGAGTAGTGTCGTTTTGCGTACATCTGCAGCCTGGCTCTGTTTAATACTAAAGGCAGATCGTTTATATATATTGAAAATCTGAAAATGAACTTATTATGAAGTTCTGCTGTTCATTAGGGAAAAATAGACACTCAAATACAAATTCAGGGAAAGTTCATTGTTTATCCTACTTCACAATCAGCGAGCTTCTGTCTTTAATATTCTTAACTATCTGTGCCGCACTGGTCTGCCTCAGGGTGGCGCTGTAGCAAACTAGTTCACGCTGTTGATCCTTCATAGCATAGCAGCTGTAACTATGCTCAAGAAAACTTCCCAATTTCACAAGAGACTGGTGGAAAGAGTGAATTGTTACTCATTTCTCAAACCTACGGGATGGACGCACACAATCAGAAGAATCATAAACAAACAACCCTGCTGAAAAAAAACCCATACAAACCATTAAGGACCAATCCCATTTCTTATTTTTCCCCCTATCCCTTGTGTTGTCATTTATTTATTATTATCTTTGATGATATGAAGCTAAAGTAAGCTGTTCATAAGCTTGTCGTTCAAATTTTCCCGCTCCACCTTAAATGGAGCAGCAGTTCTGATGCCAGAATGTAACTGCTGCACCATTTAAGGTGGAACGGGAAATTTAGCTAGCCAGCTACAGCAGCATACTACTACATACAGCAGCCAAATACTAGTGATTTTTTACGCTTGTTATGAAGAAAAGGACCATAATACACTGAAGCGACATTAAACTAAGATAATACATGGTACAATTTTTAAATGAAAAAATGCTCAGATCTGTGAGTTTCTTTGGTCGCTTGTGCAGCCATTTTGCCGGTTTTTCTTTTTTTTTCCTCATAACACTCTGTTTGGAGTGAGTCTCTGAAAAACCTACGTTTGGGAGGCCATGTAGCCCCAACACTTCACCCTACCCCTCTTTTTCAATACTAATCAGGACACCCTAACCCGTGAACGGCCGCTCCCAAAGAAAAGCACAGTGGCTTGTCTGAACAAATGTAGGCTGGTTGACTCCAATTGCAATGAAATGCTTTAAAAGACTAATCTTGGCCCATATATACAGAACATTATACCAGACACGCTGGACATCCTCCACTTCACGTATCGCCCAGATCCACAGAAGATGCCATCTGCACTGCCATCCACACAGCTCTAGAACACCTAGACGGCAAAAAGCTATGTGAGAATGCTATTCATTGACTACAGATCAGCATTCGACACTATTATCCCATCCAAACTGAGTCTCCATTCACCCATGACAGTGTTGCCTCCCACAGTTATACCACCATCATCAATTTGCTGGTGAAACCATGTCATGGGACTATTCACAGAGGTGATGACACAGCCTATAGGACGGAGGTGGCAAATCCAGTGGCATGGTGACAGGTCATCAATCTTTCCTTAAATGCTGACAAAATAAAGGAGATGATTGACGGCTACCGGAGGAGGGTAGAACATCATCACACAGCGGTAGAGAAAGTGATCGCACAGATTGCGCAATTTGTACAAATGCACACCTGTGTACACCAGTGATTTCAATGTATCACTTCTATATGATGGGACTGTGATTTAATTACAGGGAAGGGTGTTGTTAGGCACGATGTGAAGCACCTAAAACTCCCTTCCCTATGATAAAACTGCAGTAACACACGGCCTCAAGTGGCTTACTACTTTTATAAAATGGCAACCAACATGAAACATGATAAAATACACAATTGTTCAGAAAATAATTTGAGTTATTATTAATAATAATCGACATAAACAAGTATTCCACCAAGAAATGTTCCTTTAGAGTATAGTATCGTTGCCACGCACCCATGGATCCTTGAATGAGGAGAACGTTTGGTCTCCCATTGCTGTATGTTGCAGTCATTTCATGAATTTTTAAACTTTTTGTCATGTAACAATGAACAAATGATAACACAGCACTGTTTAATACAAAAACCTTTGCTTTATAAGCACTTTTTGGTCACCAAATCACCACCGCGAGTCTCAGTTAGCACCAATCCAGCGGCGCCCTCTTCTCATGCTGGGGCTGCAACTCAAACGGCTCCCTGCTCCCTACATAGTGCACGATGTAGGAGTTTAAATACTGGATCCTGCTGCCAACAGAAGTTAACACAATCCACCACTGCTTCAAGAAATGCAACCTGAAAGGAGAAAGCCATACATCAGTTCTATGCAGAAACGCTGCTGACCTTTCTGGGCCCAAGTCCAAAATACAGTGGAAATGTGTGCTGTGGACAGAAGAGTCCACTCTTCAGCTTGTTTTCAGGAAAAATGCAGTTCTTTATGCCAAAAACAGAAGGGATCAGCCAGACTTCTATCATCGAAAGATGTATACTAGACTGTAAATATATTATGAACACAATGCTCAGCTTCTTAGGCCCCCCTATCGGCAAGGACCCTGAACCCCCCAGCTGCACTGTAGGATTAGGTTTCACTTCAGACCAAGAATGGATTTAGTGGGACTTTATTTATTTATTGTTTTTAAAGTGGCCAATCAGAACTCACTGGAGTCAGCACCCTGTGGCCCCACCCCTGACTCCGCCCCACATCACTTACCTGCACATCTCCTCTGTTAGTATATATATCAGTGCTGTTTCAGTGATCGCAGTGCATAACCAGTCAGACACTGAGAGAGAAGAAGGTGAGTAACCGTGCTGATGGAGAGAACCGCTGTTGTTGTTGTTGCTCTGATGATGCTGTTGCAGAACAGCCTGCAGGACACACAGGGTCCTGTGACATCGCTGAACTCCTCTGCTGAACTGAAGCAGATCAGGGATCTTCTCTTTCAGCAAGGACTCAACTTGACTGAGCTCCTGAAGAAAGACACAGGTGATTCAAATACCTCAATCTATCTCTTTCAATACAAATCACTGACTCTGGATTGGATTGGAATGATTTTAATGTTTTTTTTTCTTTGTTCTTGTTCATTTTTGTTTGTAATAAATCTGACAGTCTCCTTGAACTATAAAGTATATAAAGGGTAAATAAAATAAAAGTACAAAAATTCTAAGGTGAAATTTTAATCATTTACATTTTGGCTATTTTAATCAAATATGAAAACTGTAAAAACGTGATGTGGGACACTTGAAGTTGCTGAGATCTTATGAGAACCCATCAATAAAAGTGTCACTCTAACCTAACACTGAAAATCATCTATTTGAAGTAATGATTACTTTCTGAGGACGACATGCAGCCAGATATTGAGGATCTTAAAAGACTGCTTTTTTTCACTCAAGCACAAGCAGTTGCGCTCTCAGCCATGAAGAGGGAACTGGAACAACTGAACAACGCGAGTGCAGGTAAATGTGAATTCATGCTTACTCAGTTAATATCACTTGTGTTGAAACACAAAGACGTTATGAAGAGCTATTTTGAAAGTAGTGTGGACCTGAATCTCCTACACTCTTAAAAATGCTGGTTCTTTCAGGCTTCTTTAGTAAAGAAAATGGTTCTATATAGAACCATGAACACTCAAAGAACTGTTTGCATCATTAAAAGGTTCGATGTCAAGCTTGTAGCAATAGAAGAACCCTTTTTGGTGCTATATAGAACCATTTACAGCATATTCTCCATCAAACTAAAGAAGCCTATCACAGTGCAAGGGACCCTTTAATCATGCAAAGGCCTCTTGTTCATGGTTCATTTTCTTTACTAAAGAACCCTCAGAGAACCAGCGTAGGAACGACATCCTAATGCGTGGCCACAACTTAGTAAGGCATGATCTCATTCCCACACCTTACTAAGTCATGGCCATGCATTAGGATCTTGTTTCCACTTCTTAATAAGGCATGGCACAAGCAAGAGCACTCTCAGCCGTGAAGAGCGATCTGAAAACACTGAAGAACGAGAGTGCAGGTAAATGCAAATTCATGCTTACTCAGCTACTATCAGTTTTGTCAAAATCGAACAAGAGCTGTTCTGAAAGTAGTTTACACATAAAGTTCCGTATTGTATTTGGTTTTTGAGGTGTAAAGATGTAAACACAATCTCTGCAGCAAAGTCTTTCTTAAAGTAGTTCATGGTGGATTCTGAGGTGTGTTTGGGATCATTATCCTGTTGTACAACACAGAAGCCAGCCTCTCTTCTGCTTTAGTGTTTTTAATTGTATTTTCTTTCTTTTTGCTGCAGAGGGTATCTTAACTTCTTTTCACTTCAGAACTCAACAAAATATCGCTGTCGTACGAAAACCTTGTATCTCCATTTTTGACGTTTTTCAGTTTTTGCAATAATTTGCAAATACCTGTTGGCCTTTTCATTGTGTGTAAATTTCATGATGAATAGACTAAAAGAAATGACCCAAAATTTCCTTTGAAAAAAGTCTGTTTCCATTGACGTACATTAAAAGTAAAGTAGGTTTTTACTTTTGCCTGTAAAATTATCATTTTGGAGATATGAGGTTTTCTTTCAACATTAGTGAAATGTAATTTTGATAAGGGTGCCCAGACTTTTGCATATATATTTTCCCTTTTGTGAACACTCTGCTTGATCCATAGATGATTCCAGTTTGGGCAGCAATGAATTACACTGGTTCAGACACTTGGCTTTTTTTAGGGGTTTTAACTGTTTGTGCTCTTGTATTATAGAGAAGGTGGCCTTCTCAGCTGCTTTAGGCCTGCCTGCAGGACTGAGAGGCCCAAAGAATGCTGAGACTACTCTGGTCTACAAAAATGTCCTAACAAACATTGGAAATGCCTGCAACTCATCTACAGGTACAGTTACAAAATGAACGCAAACAATATAAGGGAGTAATCAAACACACTGACTGATTCGTTTAGTGTGTTTAATAGGCGAGAAACATTCTGCACAATTTACAACCACTGAGATTGAGAGGCTCTGGAACATGCTGCCTTAACCTGTGTGTCTCTCTCGCTGCAGGGATCTTTACAGCTCCATTCAGAGGGGTCTACTATGTTCACTTCACAGCTGCCGTGTATAACAACAACAGCTAAAATCTAGGACTGAATCTGTACAAAACGGGCAGTATCTGCTGCATTTGGGTGAAAACAGCACTGACGGCTATGCTAAGCATGTCTTGAGTGGAGTCACTCTGGTTCTGGTGGCGGGAGATCAGGGGTACACCCGCCTGCCAGCAAACTACGCGGTCTGGGATGATTCGCTCTTCCGCACTAGTTTTAGTGGCTTCCTCCTCTTCCCCATGTGAAAGATGGAAAGGCCTAGTGATAAAATTACTAGGAGGCTTGTCTTACTGTCGCTTTTACTGCTTTGATTAACTACTTAATCAGTTATCAATATTCAGTGCTGATTAACCAGCTGTGAAATCATTTAACCTGCTTTATCATTTTGGGTAAAGGGACTTTCACTTATATGACAGAAACATTACCAAAGAATTGCTTCTATGAAATGTCTTCTGGGGCCAGATGCTAGAGGGCGCTCTTCAGCAGATTGTATTTTGGTTTGTAGTAAATCTCCAAGTGGGTCTCAACTGTAAAATAAAAACTGTAAAAAAACTGTACTCTCATTACTCACTGAAAGTTCCTTGGTTAGAGAGTAACAAAACAGAAGTACTCCTCTACTGTAGAACCACTTCTAATACAGGAACTTCATTATTTACTTGACTGAAGATGAATGTTTATTTCACTACTGTGCTGAAAAACCATCAATTGCAGACTTTTAATATGTTATGCTTATGTAAATAAATGTCAGTGCAATTGTACACTTTTCAAAATGTGAGTAAAATGACAGATATTGGGACTTTAGTATAAAGAAAGAAGTAAGAACCTTAATGTAAACACAGGGGACTTGCTTTATCAGACAATTGAACAAGTTCTTTCTTTTTTCTGTTGAAGAATTTGTGTTTCTTGCATGTCCAAAATGACACAGTCTAAATAAAACTACAGACAACATTAAATCGATAAGTCAAAATCTATTTTCCATTTCGTGTTGTTTTTGTAAGGAAGTATTTAAAAGGTGTTAAGTAAACAGATGAATGGGTCAATGACGTGGTGATGCCAAAGCTGTTCTCAGGCTCTCCAAGCTTACACTCATCATCATCATTAGGAAAAATCAGTGTATAAAGTACCTGGATAATGTGACAGTGCTAAATCAAAGCGACACCACCTTTGCATGTAAAGTCACACTTCCTTCTTTTAATTTCTCTTTACACCTGGTTGTCATTGGCTCTAGTGTAGGGACAATGACTGATATTTCAGGTCTGAACCATAGTGAGACGCTGGCTATGGAACACTATCTAGTTGTTTTCTGGAAGCAGAGCATGTGCACATGATGACCAACCAAGCGTTGAGGCTGGCTGAGAACCGTTGAAAGGTGCTGCTTCAAGGTCGTGGTACAGAGAAAAAGCAAAATGTTTGGGTCTCCTCAGGTGAGTTTTCTGGCCAGTATCTTAGGTTAAATGCATGCATTGGCTTAGGTTACAATCTCATGTTCTTTGCTTCACGTAGGGACAGTGGAGTTTGGCCCTGTGCCATTTCTAAGGTAGGAAATTAGAGAACAAGATGGGGAAATTTAGTGAGTAGGTGCTAAAGAGAATAGGGTCGTGATGCAGTGTGGAAACCAAACAGATTTTAATGCAACTGAAGGGACTAGCATTTCACCACTGTCAGAAGAAAACCTCGTATCTCCACTTTTTGTTGTTTTACAGTTTGGATAAATCTCCATTTACATTGTAAATTTCATGATGAATGGACGAACAGAAACGGCACAAAATGACTTGGAAAAAATTCTGGTTCTATTGCCTTACATTAAAAGTAAAGTAGGTTTTTCTCCTGTAAAGTTATCATTTTGGAGATACGAGGTTTTCTTCCGACAACAGTGATTTACATGATCCACTCAGCAATGCAAAGCACAGTCTGTACCTTTGTGTCAAAGCAAATAAGTTTCGCTGTTATGTTTGTCCATGCTTCTCTTAGTTTAATCACTGGGGTGATTTCAAACCTACCCTGTTTGGTGCAGAACAATCTGTTTTGACAGGTATGAACATTTCCAACTTTACTTGGATGTGCACCAAACAACTTATCCACAACCTGTCAAAATTCAGGGGAGGTCTGCTTCCAAGTGAACTTGTTTAGTTCACTGCTCGAGGGCATTTTTATGATGATCTGCATCAAACAAGGGAATTCTGTCTGCACAATTGACCTGTTTTAACATTTGACTATTTACAGAGACTCATTGTGTCTGGCATCTTTAAGATGGATCGTATGCTGTGCCAGGTTTGTGCACCCAGGTTTAGTTTGGAAAATGGAGGGATAATGGTTGAATACCTGGGTTAAACTGATTTGTTGCTGAGGGGCCAAATGGTTCAGTTTAGGATTGCATGAAGACTTCCATGAGGGCAGTTGCTCCATCACATCTCCACCATCCTCTTCCAGTTGCTGGACGAACAGAACAAGGTTTGGTTCTTTTTGCTCCTTCCATTCTCTCATGAGGTTCACATGGTATGTCTGTGATTTTTTTTCTTTTTCAGGATGAAGCACTTCATAGGTCACCGGCCCTTGCTTCTTCAGGACCTCAAAAGGCCCCTGCCACTTTGCCAGAAGCTTGTTGGTGGAGGTAGGAAGCAGTAAAAGGATCTTCTGACCAGGTTTAAATTCATGTCGATGAGCTTTCTGGTCATACCAGGATTTCTGGTTGCGCTGGGCTTTCTCCAGGTGAAGACGGGCCTGCTCTCTGTAAGACTCTAAGCGATCTCTCATCTGCAATACAAAGTTGACAATGCCTTTCTCCTTATCAACTTCAGTCTTTTCCTCCCACTGGTGGTGCAAGAGATCAAGGGGTCCCTGAACAGACCATCCATAAAGAAGCTCAAATGGGGAAAACCCAGTTGAAGCTTGCGGTACCTCCCGATAAGCAAAAAGTAGGAAGGGCAACCACTTGTCCCAATCCTTTCCAGTGTCTGACACAAACTTTCTCAACATGGATTTTAAGGTTTGATTGAACCTTTCAACAAGGCCATCAGTTTGTGGGTGATAGGGTGTGGTATGAAGGCCAGTGATTCCCAGATGCTGGTGAAATTGGGACATGAGATGAGAAGTGAAATTTGAGCCTTGGTCAGTAAGGATTTCATCAGGAAACCCCACTCTGGAAAAGAGTTGTACAAAGGCAGCAGTTATCTTAGGGGTGGTGATGGAGCGTAGAGGAAAGGCCTCTGGAAAGCGTGTGGCATAATCACAGACAACCAATATGTACCTAAACCCCGAGCTGCTCTTCTCAAGAGGGCCTACGATATCCATAGCCACACGTCTGAAGGGGGTGGAAATAATGGGCAAGGGCTGCAGAGGTGCTTTAGCAGAATGTCGAATCTGTCGGGTTTTCTGGCAATCAGGGCATGAACTACAGTATTTCTGGACATCAGAATACATAGAAGGCCAGAAGAAGCAACAGCTAACCCTGAGGTAGGTTTTATTTTGTCCTAGATGACCCGCCCATGGAATAGTGTGTGCAAGATGTAGGACTAAAGATCTACGGCTAGTGGGAACAACCAAACGGTTCTCAGGTGAATCTGCCAAATAAAGAATGTTGTTCTCAAGAACATATCGGTCTTTACAACTAAGTGACCCATTGCTATTCCCCTGCCCCGGCTGTTCATACAAGTGGACAAGGGAAGGATCTTCTCGCTGGAGAATGTCTATGTTTGTGGGGACCTGCCATTGACTAGTGGTGAGAAGTGTGGTTTGTGGTGGATGTATGGGTGATCCTAAAGCTTTCTCAAGGCGCCATTTCTGACATGACTTTTTTGGACCTTTCTTCCCCCCTTCAAACAGGCTGTCAGACACAGAAGGTAGTGGCTCGATACCAGCTTTGGTTTGGGAGCGTGTTAAGACAGGACATGATAAGTTAACAGTGGACTGGGCTTCTCCCAACAATTCAGTCAAGACTGGTAAGTCCCTGCCTATCGCCATGTCTTTGGGCAAGTCATTAACCACTCCCACCCACAAAAGAAACACACTGTCAGAAACCCCAAGAGTTACATCTGCTGTGGGATAGTATTTTACATCACCATGTACACACTGTATTGCTGTCAGTTCAGAATGGTTAACCATGCTAGGTGGCAAAAAATCCCCTTTATCAAAGTCACAGCACTTCCAGTATCTAACATGGCTTGTAAAGGTTGTCCATTAACCACTACCAAAATGTCAGTAGAGTTTCCCAAACTGCTGTTCTGTATTTCTCTGGCATCACCTGTCACTGCTTCCCCTCTGTCCTGTAAGAACACGTCCCCTTCCCTTGGCACATAACAGTAGCTAGACAGCTTGGGCTTCTTAAGAGGGCATGTAGACGCCTTGTGTCCTTGCTGCCGACAATAAAAGCAAATCAAGGTACCTTTTGCTTTTTGTCCGTCTCGCGTGTCCTTAGGTGGGCCTTGTTCCGGATAGGAGCTGATATTACCCTCAACAAGTCTTGGTTCCTTCGGTGGTGCTGGTGAGGACCACGGCGATCCTCATCGAGCATTCAGACACTGCTGTGCCAACTGTGCTACGATCAGTCCATTTGCAGGCTCATGCTCCTGGACCCAGGTGCGGACATCTGTTGGTAGCACCCGCAGGAACTGCTCCAGGATGATGAGCTCCCCGATCTCTTCCTTACTGTGTAATTCTGGTTTCACCCAGCATCGATAGAGGCCTTTCAGGCGATGATAGGTCTCTTTTGGTGTCTCTCCTGCCGGTATGAACCTCCCCCTGAATCACTGACGATAGGTCTCAGAGGATATGGTCTGGATAAGAGTTTGTCGGAAGCAAGAGCACATTCAGTGCAAGGGTGTTTATTTAGTGAAAGGTGTCGAGAAAATAACAAAATGTTAAGAAAAAAGAAAATTAAACAAATAAACAAAACAATTATTTACAGAATATATTAGAAACTTTGGGGAAGAAACAGTTCTCCTGCAAGTACATTGGCTCAACAATCAACCAACCATCATTCTCTACAGAAATGCACTGCTCCTTAAATAGTCATGCACTTATGCACAAACAATTATAACCAGCAATAATAACTGGTGAAATAAATACAAAATTCAAGAAAAGCTGGTTCACAATGGATCCTTCAATCATAAGCTAAAACACACAAAATGAACAAGATCAAATGAAGACATTTCAAACTTTATGAACCCCATGAACCCCCCCCTCCAAAATGGATCACTCCAACAGGGTTCTACAGAGCATGTCTAAATTTTGCCCAGGCATTATTTAAGGACAGCTCAGACCAAGCTTGGGCCTTTTCCCAGACCAGGAAGTACTGCAGTTCATGTAAGTCATGTATGTTCTACACCTGCTGCTAGTATCAAGATGTAAATTCCAGTAGCAAACTTTAACTGTAAAAGGTGATATTATGTACCAAGCTAGCAAAGACTGAGAGTGCAGTAGAAATAAACAGCAGCATTAGCTGATAAAATGGTGAGAGAGAAAGTGTATGAACTACTGTAAGACTAGAGCAGGGACAGAACGGGACTGAAATAAGGGGGAAATATGAAAGGAAATAGATTTAACTAGGGAAACTAGTTTGTTCGTTCTGTCACACATTGCTTTTGAAGCATGAGCTACTTTGCTAATAATTATGGACAAGGAGTAATATGATCATGAAGAAAAGTGTTTGATTTTGGCGTATGGAATGCAGAACATACTTTTAGCCAAGCATCAGAAATCTGATGGCTTAAATTCAAGTTGACAATTGCATAATAAAGAAATGGAGATCAAGAAATGGTTATTTTTATTGGTTTTATTGTGATGCATGTAGATGCCAAGAGCCTCTGTGTTACCATAATGGGAATGGGAATTTTTTGAAAAGGAAAAACCAAATATTGCATTGACATAAGTATTCAGACCCTTTACTCAGTACTTAGTTGAAGCACCTTTAGCAGCTATTACAGCCTCCTGTCTTCTTGGGTTTGATGCCACAAGGTTTACACACCTGGATTTGGGGATTTTCTGCCATTCTTCTCTGCAGATCCTCTCAAGCTCTGTCATGTTGGATAGGGACTGTCAGTGGACAGTCATTTTCAGGTCTCCCCAGAGATGTTTGACTGGGTTCAAATCAGGGTTTTTCTTGGGCCACTCAAGAATATTCACAGAGTTGTCCCTAACTGCCAATCCTGTGTTGTCTTGGCTGTGTGTTTAGGGTCATTTCTCTTGTTTGAAGGCCCTGAGCGCTCTGGATCAGGTTTTCATTATGAATATCTCTTTATTTTGCTGCATTCAGCTTTCCCTCGACCCTGACCAGTCTCCCTGTCCCAGTTGCTAAAAAGCAACACCACAGCATGATGCTGCCACCACCATGCTTCACTGTAGGGATAGTACTGGGCAGGTGATGAGCAGTACCTGGTTTCCTCCAGACATGATGCTTAGAATTGAAGCCAAAAAGTTCACTCTTGGTTTCATCAGACCAGAGAATCTTGTTTCTCACAGTCTCAGAGTTCTTTAGGTGTTTTTTTTTGCAAACTCCAGGCAGCTTCCATGTGTCTTTTCCTGAAGAGAGGCTTCTGTTTGGCCACTCTGCCATAAAGCCCAGACTGGTGGAGTGCTGCAGTGATGGTTGACCTTCTGGAAATTTCTCCCATCTGCATACAGGATCTTTGGAGCTCAGCCAGAGTGACCATCAGGTTTTTGCTCACCTCTCTTACCAAGGCTCTTTTCCCCTGATTACTTAGCTTGGTGGGGTGGCCATCTCTAGGAAGAGTCCTGGTTGTTCCAAACTTCTTCTGTTTAAGACTTATGGAGGCCACTGTGCCCTTGGGATCTTTCAGTGCAGCAGAATTCATTTTATAGCAGCACTGCTGTGCGTACCACACACTAACACACCACCACATCATCAGTGTTACTGCAGTGCTGAGAATGATCCACCACCCAAATAGTACCTGCTCTGTGAGGGTCCATGGGGGTCCTGACCACTGAAGAACAAGGTAAAAGGGGGCTAACAAAGTATGCAGAGAAACAGATGGACTACAGTCTGTAACTGTAGAACTACAAAGTGCACCTATATAGTAAGTGGAGCTGATAAAATGGACAATGAGCATAGAAACAAGGAGGTGGTCATAATGTATGCCTGATCGGTGTACATCAAGAATGTGTATATAAGGGATTGATCTGGGTTTTGAAAGTTAAAAGATAATAATAAAGATAATAATAAAGGCAAACATGAAAATAGATTATCTCCCAACCACACTTATGACCAATTTTATGTATTTATGTATTTAGTTCACTTTAGTTGTTGCAACATAAAACCAAACAAACCAAATGAAAAATGTACAATGTCACAAAAAATCTAACTTTGGTGCAGACTTTAGCAAACAAACCAGGTGCAAAAAAACAAAAGTCCATCAACACTGAACTTTGGTACGGCAAATAATAAGCACTGCACAGAGAGAGACACTCAGCCTGAAGGACCGTTTGATTTTCGACAAAAATGACTAGAGCTGTCGTTTCTCTGCTGCTCTTGTGGCTCTTGCAGGACAGTTTTGGGGACACTCAGCCACAGGAGACTGAAAGTTTGTCCAGCCTATTTATCCAACGAGACATCTCTGCCGAACTGAAGAGTCTGAAAGACCTGGTTAATCAGCAAGGAACCACATTAGAGGAGCTGAAGACGGAATTGGTGAAGATGCAGCAGGAGAATGCAGGTGTGAATGCTTTGAGAATAGTGTCTGTTTCAGCTCCATGTACTTTTTACTTCGTGTTCCTAGTACCCACCCGAGACGGTCTGAGTGGATCTTGAAAGTAAATAGCTAAAACAAATAAGAACAAGGATTTTGCACTAGTTATGTAGTTATGTTTTTGTGCAGTGTTTTGTGGTTTTATACGGAGCCCCGAAGGGGACAGAGGTAAAAAAAAAAAAAAATTAATTTGAGGGAACGTTTTGTAGTTCATACGCACGTTTTCTCTTAATCGTGGTCACGATTTCCCTCGTTTTCTTTTAATTATGCGCACGTTTTCTTTACTTTGTGGGTTCGTTTTTTTTTGTCATGACGCTGATCATTTCGTCCTGTAAGTGTGTGATGGTCTCTAACGCTGATGATTTCATCCTGTAATTGTGTGATGGTCTCTAACGCTTATCATTTCGTCCTGTAATTGTGTGATGGTCTCTAACACCACAGCTTGTTGCGGGAGCAGAAACAGCGCTAAGCGTCTCTGTCTCTGTTAAATATGATCATTTCAGTGCAGTTTAGTGAAGATTGTGGTTGTAGTTTATTGTCGTCCTTCATTTCACCACCAAACTGCAGCTGCACTGATGAATCTGAGGGCCGTTTGCTGTGAAGAGGAGCTGCAGTTTCATAACCCCCAATTCAAAATCAGACCTGATGAGCATCTCTGTCCATTATCTTATCTTATCAATCTAACTCATCAAAACCCGTCAGACCGTCTCAGGGAGCTGTTATTTACTTCTGCACCAGACAAAAAACACGACCTGTATCTACTACATTGATTTTGCACACAAATCAAAAACATAAACAATGTGTGTTCAGTTAAAAATAAATCATGACGACGTTTAAAAGATAGTGAGAGTACGAATTAGAAAATCGTGATCACGAATAAACAAAAACGTACCCACAAAGTAAAGAAAATGTGCGCACGTTTAAAAGAAAACGAGGGAGCGATTTAAGAAATTGTGACGATAAATAAAGGAAAATTATTATTAATTTTTTTTTTTGACCTCCGTCCCCTCCGGGGCTCCGTAGTTTGATGTGAAGCAGATGTTTAAAAAAAGTGCTTTTTTAATGACTAGTAGTTTGCACTGCTATTTCCCTGCTACAGCACAAGAAACCGAGCTCTCTACTTTGAAATCCAGACTTGCGGTCAGTGAGCAAGAGGTGGAGAACCTGAAGAAGAAGAATGCAGGTAAAACAGAAGCCACAGCATTTAGTAAACAAGATCAACAAAAGAACACGAGGTGGAATTAATGTGTCAAGACAGGTCTACAAGATCTCAAAGAAAACACCACCAACTTTTCAAAAGTTCCACATAATTAAGTGGTTGAGATGTAAACAGAGTCATTCAGACTGGTTTGGTGTGAAACGCTCTGTTTTAGAGAAACTTACCGAGTCAGAACTGTTCACAGTGGTGGTGATAGGAACCAGACGTCCACCTCTAAAAGCTCCCTCACAGAAAGTTATAAAAGAAAATGGTTTTGAATTCACTGTCTAAGGCCTGAGACACTGTTATATAATAGTTTAGTGGTAAAGTTTTGGCCTGGAATGTCTTGTTAATCATTTGTCTTAAACCATTCATGGTGGAGGGGGGTAGGCAGGGCATTGGAAGGCGAAGTAGTCCCCATATTTTTCAGATTTCCCAGTATTTCACCATCATCAACATTCCATATAAGACTTGTGTAGGTTCACTGGTGGTTTTGGATGGTAAATAAAATGTCTATGTTGGTGTTGTCATCGTGGCGACCCCTGGTTCCTATCACCACCACTGTAAAGACATATGAATCTGTATGTTCATGCAAATGAACCATTTCACATCAGACCACTCTGAATGGCTTTATATCACAACCACTGAATTATACAGAAATTAAAAAAAAAAAAATAGTGGAATTCCTCTTTAACTTGGGAACCATGGGTAGTATTTTAATAATGAGTTATGTTCAACTTAAATGTTTTATTTCTGTAGTGTATTTCTAAAATCAGACACAATTCAATATTCTAATTTTAAAGCAACACCATTTTGACTCATAACAGCTGAATGCAAGTAAGATGGATTTACCTTGAATGTATTCATAGCACTTTATTTAAGGAGTGGTCCTTTGTAGATGATTAATAAACTCTTAACAAAGTCTCAGTAACACATCAACATATCAGTGAAGTAGCAGTAGTGCAGCATCTGAATACACTGAAGCAAATATCTTGTACATGTTCTGTTGATAGATTACTTACATTAAGTAGATGTGTTGTAAATATGTTACTCCCATTACACAAAACCTAACCTTACCAACCTCAACCCAAAACCTAATCCAAACCTTCACCCTGGCCCTAATCCTAACCTTAACCTCAACCCAAAACCTAATCCTAACCCTCACCCTGGCCCTAATCCTAATCCTAACCTTAACCTCAACCCAAAACCTAATCCTAACCCTCACCCTGGCCCTGATCCTAACCCTGATCCTAATCCTAACCTTTACCTCAACCCAAAACCTAATCCTAACCCTCACCCCGGCCCTAATCCTAACCTTAACCTCAACCCAAAACCTAATCCTAACCCTCACCCCGGCCCTAATCCTAACCCTGATCCTAATCCTAACCTTTACCTCAACCCAAAACCTAATCCTAACCCTCACCCCGGCCCTAATCCTAACCTTAACCTCAACCCAAAACCTAATCCTAACCCTCACCCTGGCCCTAATCCTAACCTTAACCTTAACCCAAAACCTAATCCTAACCCTCACCCTGGCCCTGATCCTAACACTAACCTTTACCTCAACCCAAAACCTAATCCTAACTCGAACCTTAACCTCAACCCAAAACCTAATCCTAACCCTCACCCTGGCCCTGATCCTAACACTAACCTTTACCTCAACCCAAAACCTAATCCTAACCCTAACCTTAACCTCAACCCAAAACTTAATCCGCACACTAACCCTGACCCTAATCCTAACCTTAACCTTAATCAAACCCTAATCCAGTGAAGCTCCAGGGACAGGACAGTGTCAGTGTGTCTGTATCAGCTGGTTGAGGATGTTGATGGTCTGTATTAAACCTGTTAATGTTCAGTTCCTCTCAGATCAACATCTACAGATCTGAACGTGGAGCCTCCAAATAAACAGAAAACAGCCGAACTCAGCAGATTTAAACATTTTATTTACACAGTTCATTAAGTCTCTTAATAATCTACTGAATTATTCACGGCTGCCACATCACTGATATGCCGTTGATGTTACTGAGAGTCTGTTGGGTGTTTATTTCATCTACAAAAGACACTCAAAACAAAGCGTCAGATACATTTCTGTCTTTTATTTGTCTTCACTATTAACGGGCACCCAGTGGACAGTTACTCATTAACTCTGTGGTTTCAGAGAGACCAAAGGTGGCTTTTTCAGCTGCTCTGACTGATTCTGGAACAGTGGGACCCTTCGCTGTTCAGACTAAGCTGGTCTTCAGCAAAGTCTTCACAAATGTTGGCCAAGCTTACAACTCAGCCACAGGTACATATAGCAGTAATTAAAAATCAGCAGCATTTTCCCCATTAAAAACAACTTATTTCTCAGACTAATAAGTTTAATGGGCATTATTAATGAAGTTAATGAGATTTTTTGTTTTGTTTTGTAGGAGTTTTCACGGCTCCAGTGAAGGGAATCTACTATTTCAGGTTCACAGCTCTTGGCTATCTGAGCTCCAATGCGATGGCTGTTAATTTACATAAGAATCACCAAACACTCATACATACTGGTGCATATAACACCCACGGCTTCCATGAGTTCATAAACAACGGCATCGCTCTGGAGCTGGAGGTGGGAGATGTAGTTTACACCAGCCTTTCGGCAACCTACAAACTTTTTGACAATTCAAATAACTCAACCACTTTTACTGGCTTCCTCCTTTATCCTGTGTGAGAGCTACACCGGTCAGGCGTAACATTATGACCACCTCCTTGTTTCTACGCTCATTGTCCATTTTATCAGCTCCACTTACTATATAGGTGCACTTTGTAGTTCTACAGTTACAGACTGTAGTCCATCTGTTTCTCTGCATACTTTGTTAGCCCCCTTTTACCCTGTTCTTCAGTGGTCAGGACCCCCATGGACCCTCACAGAGCAGGTACTATTTGGGTGGTGGGTCATTCTCAGCACTGCAGTAACACTGACGTGGTGGTGTGTTAGTGTGTGTTGCACCGGTATGAGTGGATCAGACACAGCAGCGCCGCTGGAGTTTTTAAACACTGCGTCCACTCACTGTCCACTCTATTAGACACTCCTACCTTGTCAGTCCACCTTGTAGATGTAAAGTCAGAGACGATAGCTCATCTGCTGCTACACAGTTGTGTCGGTCATCCTCTAGTCCTTCATCAGTGGTCACAGGACGCTGCCCACAGGACGCTGTTGGCTGGATGCTTTTGGTTGGTGGGCTATTCTCAGTCCAGCAGTGACACTGAGGTGTTTAAAAACTCCAGCAGCACTGCTGTGTCTGATCCACTCAGACCAGCACAACACACACTAACACACCACCACCACGTCAGTGTTACTGCAGTGCTGAGAATGACCCACCACCCAAATAGTACCTGCTCTGTGAGGGTCCATGGGGGTCCTGACCACTGAAGAACAGGGTAAAAGGGGGCTAACAAAGTATGCAGAGAAACAGATGGACTACAGTCTGTAACTGTAGAACTACAAAGTGCACCTATATAGTAAGTGGAGCTGATAAAATGGACAATGAGAGTAGAAACAAGGAGGTGGTCAGAATGTGTATGGTACACTCACAGATCTCTCCACACTCATCTGGAGGCTTTCTTAGAGTTTTCTGTTAATCATGGATTTCTAGCTCAGAGTATTTTAGGACGGAGCTTCAGGCCAGTTCACATTTTTGTCCGTTGTCAGTGCCAAACATACTATTCACATGCTGTAAAGCTCTGACTGCCTGGATCAGACATGTTGGAGGCTACGGCCATCAAAATGTGGACTGACCTGAGGTCCCATAGGACTGGTCTGAGGACATCTGTCCTCAAATACACTGGCATTTTTTAAAATTTGGAATCTCTATTCAGAAGTTAATAGTTATTGTTTTCAATAATATAAAACAATTTGTTTTCAGATAAATTAACAATATGATTCTAATATGGTAGTTTTTACCAACTTCCAGTTTTCAAATAATTGGTATGACAGAGATTGAAATTTTGGTGACACTTTATAATAACAGGCCCTAACAAACAACAACTTGATAATAATCTACTAGTTTCTTAATGACTGATAATTTATGGCACCATTTATTAAATCAAAATGATATTTTTTTAAAGGGAATATCTGCCAAGACCAATGTGATTATGATGTCATTATGTTTCTATACTGTTTAGCATACATCATACTTCAAAAGCAGAGATCAAATCTTGAAGCAGAAAAAGAGACAGATTAGTAGTGTAATTCTATATTACAAATGAATATTAATTCATATATTAATAATATGAATTTTAATTCATATAAATTATATATATAGGTGTAGTACCTGCCATCGTCGCCAGAGGTTCTGGTTTTTGTGATCATGATACTGTGCTTTGAATAAACGGGACCTATTTTTCACAAAGACAGTAACTAAATAAAAAATAGTTTTGTTTTTGCAGAACCACTTGAATTTTTCTTGCGGACCACTAAAGTTCTAGAAAGTGTTTTTATTCCACTCATTTATTGCTGAGTATTAAATTCAAATACTCATGTGTCCATAATTGGATTGACGTGCAAACACAAGAAAGCATACAAAACCGAACTGTATTTGACTATAACAACATGCTGGGTTTTTTTCAGTGGGTTTTCCCTCAGAGTTTAACATACATCTTATTCAATGATGTGGCAGAATTTGCACAAAGTAAAATGTTGAACATTTTTCTTGGCGATTGTTCAAAGTCAACGTGCGCTCAAAGCACTCAGCGGATGAAGCGCCGTTCAACATGACTGTCAAAGATGCACCGTCTTTCTCCATTGTTGAGGACGAGGGCTTCAGGGCTTTTGTTAATAAGCTTAACCCACATTACATTATGCCTACCAGGAAGACACTGAAGATTGTGGTGGTGAAAATATATGCATAGGAAAAAGAGAAAGCCATGGCAGAGGCCCAAAATCTAAATTCTGTTTGCCTTACTGCTCACATGTAGACATCTGCAAACAGGGATGCTCATCTGGGAGTTGCATTATGTTCCTCTGCAGTCAAATCAGTCTTCTGTTCTTCTTGGTGTGACCAGATTTCCTACAGCTCACCGTGATCCTGTGTGTTCTCTCGCTATCCTGTTCTGTTCTCTCACTACACAATCAATTGTAATTGTACAATCGTTCACCGAAAAATTCGACATACTTCACAGTGACTGTATAAATTTCCACTTTACAATAAGTGTTCCTGTGCAGTCGTAATGTAGGTAGTGAAACTGCAGATTGAGATGTGCTGTGTAAAATACTGGCCCATTAAAGCCAGAACTTTGGTTAACATGTCACAACACAGGCACGCTACTACAGCCAGCTAAACGTGAGCAAAGTTGGTGATTCCTGTTCAGATGCAGTGGACACACTCTGATAATGTCGTAATTACAAATCAGAAAAGTCTTTTTAGAGAGGCAACAGTTCATACCAATGTAATTACCCTCATTCTCTTGCATATGTGGAATTATATAAGAGAAAATTTGGAGACGTTTTAAGTGCCTGAAAAAACTAGATTGAATAATTTCAGCTCTATACAAGTCAAAGCGAAATGAAACAACATTCCTCCAGGACCAACACAGGAACACAAGTGCAAGACAACACAATAAACACAGTGCAGACAATACAGTACAATAAATAAACACGAAAGACTTACAATGAATACAGAACAGAGCACAGGCAGCACACGGTGCTGAGAGTATGTGGAGCTGTGCAGAGGAGGATGGTACACACTATGACATTAACAGATTAGCACATAGCCTAGCTTATATAAGCATAGCAGTCACTGAGGTTGCAGCCAGAACAGCAATGGTATACAGTGTTTGGTTGATGCAGTAATTCTAGCAGCTAACATTGTTAAAGTGAAGCAAAATGTGCAAAAAATACAAGTCAGATATTGTTGTGGAAATAAAATGTGCAAAATGCAGGTAGTTAGATCTGCAGTCATATCAAATGAAGTATTTTAGTGAAATGCAGTAATCATATTTACTCCAGACATAATTTGGAACTGCGAGAAGTGGGGAGTGAGTCAGTCTCATATTGTCATGTATATGTGTGTGTGTGGGTCTGTGTGGGTGTCCTTCAATTCAGTATGTGGGAGATTAGGAATCTGATGGCTTGTGGAAAGAAACTGTTTCCACAAGCCCGAATGCTGCGGTACCTTCTTCCAGATGGCCGAAGAGAGAACTGTTTGTGTGAGGGGTGTGTGGGGTCGGTCACAATGCTAGTGCCTTTTCGGATGCAGCGTGTGGTGTAAATGTCCGTGATGGAGGGGAGAGAGACCATGATGATCTTTTCCACTGTCCACACTATTTGCTCGAGGGTCTTGCAGCCAGAGATGGTGCAATTGCCAAACCAGGCCGTAATACAGCTGCTCAGGATGCTCTCTCTAGTGCCTCTGTAGAAGATGGTAAGGATGGTGGGTGGGAGATGAGCTTTCCTTAACTTCCGCAGGAAATAAAGATGCTGCTGGGCTCTATTGGTTATGAAGCTGGTGTTCAGGGTCCAGGTGAGGTTCTCCGCTAGGAAGAAGGAAGATGAAACTTGGTGCTTGCAACGATCTCCACAGGGGAGTTGTTAATGGTGAGCGGAGAGTGGTCACTCTGGGCTCTCCTGAAGTCAACAACCATCTGCTTAGTTTTGTCCACATTGAGACAGGTTGTTGGTTCTGCACCAGTCCGTTAGCTGCTGCACCTCCTCTCTGTATGCTGACTCATCATTCTTACAGTCCGTCATCAGTGAACTTGATGATGTGGTTTGAGCTGTGAACAGCGAGTGCCCTGAGGGGCACTGGTGCTCAGCATGGTGGTGCTGGAGATGTTGTTACCAATCCTGACTAATTGTAGTAAGAAAGCCCTGGATACAATTACAGAGGGAGGTGTTCAGGCCCAGCAGGCTCAGCTTTCCAACGAGATGCCGAGGAATGCTGGAGTTGAACGTTGAACTGAAGTCTGTGAACAGCATTCTGACACAAAGTGTCCTTTTTCTCAAGATGAGTGAGGGCCAGATGAAGAGTGGTGGCTATGGTGTCATTTGTAGAGCGGTTGGATCGATATGCGAACTGCAGAGGGTCTAGTGAAGGAGACAGCTGGGTCTTGATGTGCCTCATTACGAGCCTCTCGAAGCACTTCATGATGATGGGTGTGAGTTCAATGGGACGATATTCATTGAGGCAAGACACTGGCGATTTCTTCGGCACGGGGGCAATGGTGGTGGCCTTGAAGCATGCTAGAACAATGACGCTGCTTAGCGAGATGTTAAAGATGTCCCGCTAGCTGGTCTGCACATTCCCTGAGCACTCAGTCAGGAATGTTGTCTGGTCCAGCAGCCTTCTGTGGGTTAACTTTGCACAGAGTTTTCCTCACTTCAGCAGTGGACAGGCACAGTAATTGGTTGGGTTGGGTGGTATTTCCTGCTGCCATGTTATTCTGTGCTTCAAACCATGCATAGAAATCATTCAGTGCATCTAGCAGGGAGGCATCACTGTCGCAGGAGCCTAATTCCCCTTCCCCACGTGCCGCGTGTTAACGGTTCTGTAACATCAATGCATTCACAGATATAGCCAGTCACCGATGCTGTATATTCAAGAGATGGTTCCTGCTGACCAGGTTTTCACCTGCTTCTGGACTGATTTGAAGCATCTGACAAGTGGTCTGTCTGTGTTTATCAGCATTACAGAAATGTGGTCTGAGTAGCCGAGCCGGGGGCAGGGTTTGCCCCATATGCCTCGGAAATGTTAGTGTAAACAAAATTCAGCGTGTTCGTCCCTCTCGTTGCAAAGCTCATGTGTTGGTGTAATTTTGGGAGCGCTGACCTGA